CGAATATCTAATGTGCATACTCTTCTTAAAAGAAGTTTTGTTTAATAATGTATTTCCCGTCCAAGAATCAATTTACTAAGGAGACTCACCCACCCTTCTACTCTAAATCGAAACACTACCACTCAAACAATTGCATTAAAGAAGACAAAAGGGATCCATTCAAAACCTTCTACCACTTTGTCCAGAGAGTAAGAAGAAAAGAGGGGGGGGGGGGGGGGGAAGGGCCTTCTACCTTTATCCTCTAAAACAAAAATGGCAAGTGTTTCAATATTTCTCTTTTAATAGAGCCAGCATGTTAACAGCATTATCCAATTGGTTAAATCAACTTGTTGCCAATGTAAAATTATGTACCTCCAAAAACTGGATGAGAACAAACCTCGTACTTGCATTCTTTTTCAAAATCAGTCGATTCATACTATCGCTTTTAATCAACTGATTATCTAAAATGTTTCAAATATATTCACGTTACTCAAGAACCATGTATCGCTTAGAATCAACTTATTCTCTAAAATGTTTCTAATTTATTCATGTTACTCAAGAACTATGTTTTTAAGGTGAACCAGTGAGCTATGATTAACACCCTTAATTACTTTATTCATGTTACTCAAGAACTCTGTTTTTAAGGTGAACCAGTGAGCTATGATTAACACCCTTAATTACTTTAGCCTACACTTTGCTGAACAAATATTGTTGATTTTTAAAAAAAATATGTAGATATAGAAAATTTAATAAAGAAATCATCACAAGAAAATAATTCCTCCATGAAGAGGCCAAAATATTTCATGAGCAAATGTTTAAAGCAATATCTCAGCCAATATAATGAAGAAGTAGAGATAAAATCAGCTATCTGTTGGATTATTAGTTTCTAAGGTAGTACAAGTAAGCATTGTTTATATCACTTGGTACGACAGCTTATAATAAGATTATATCCTTGTAACAACAGTTCAAATTCCAGAGCTCAGTAATGAAATTATCACAAAGTGGCTCACAATATGAAAAAACAACGTATTTGAGTTTCTCTAAGAATGAATCAGTGAAACAGTCATGTTATGTTTTAGAATCCTACTAGGTTCAAATTCAAGTTCACTAAAACTCAAAAAGACATGTTAGGAGCTTAAAATAAAAATAAATAAATATAAAAAATACTTCCTTGAAGAAACAAACTCAAAATGGTGACATTCTGCAAAAGGTATTGATCCATAAAGACAGAGCTTTATCTTTATTCAAAAGCAATGCAAACCTACACTTCAATAGGCTTCCAAAGTAGCACTTTACCTGTTTCTCAAGTTGCTTAGCTCTTGCTTCAGAATCTTGAAACCGTTCCTCTGCAATTCGGAGCTGAATAAACATGCATCATAAGTGAAAGCAAAAAAAGAGACAGTAAATACCATAACTAAGAATCCCTCTGAAACCAACCCAGATTCAATGCATTTTATGGGCTTATACAAGAATAATGTGGTGTTGTGACACGTAGGGATAGCGATGGTCCCTTAGACTACCATCTAAAAATCAAGACCTTCTAGGTTAATTGCAAAACATTTGTTAAATGCCAATTGAAACTATTTTTATATACAACCAAGAATAAGTGCCAAATCTACCAACCATTGTCAACAATGCAATAAACCTCCAAACTCTTCAAACATAAGAATAAGACCATAATTGAGAGTCAAGAATATATAGCGAAGGAAAAAATAATCCAGCAATGTACAGCACCTTGTCGAGAAGACTGTCATTTTCCTCCTGCAGCATATCAAGCTGCACAAAATATTTATAATAAGATAAGTATGTATGGAGAGAAATTACAACAGAGAGGTGAAAACTGGTAAAGAAACCAAATGAGGGAAACAGAAGAAATATAACTAAAAACATCAGATATAAGTGAATGTATTGAAATTATCATGCACACAACTCTGAAGTGTTTGGCGTACCACAATGAAAGGTTCTCTCCAATAATAAAGCAGGAATCTAAATGCATTTTGTATAGGTTAGAAAATAGAAGATTTACCTCATCTTGAAGGGCTGTTGAAGAAAGCTGATCATTAGTTTCTTTTGGCTCTCTTGATATCATGCTTCCAAAGTCCATTGACAACCTATTATATGTCAAAAAAAAAAGTATTAGTGTTAATAAGACTAGTAATGCTACAGATAAGCTTATCAACTAAATCAAATATGTCAGCATAGTTTAGAACACACTACATATCTTCCCCAATTTAAAGTTTCACCATCTGAGAGTTTGCATTACCTCCTACTACTGACGCTACCAGCCATTGGACTCGATATAGTTGGTTGTTTCATAGATGTTTTTACAGCAGGGGGCATCATAGTAACTGATTTAATCCCTGAAGGTCGACTTGTCGAGATAGAACGAGCAGATGGAGGCTGTTCAGAAGGATTGACGGCCATAGAAGATCGCTCAGATAAATTGTGTTCCTCAGAGTTCACAGGCACAAGGGAATGAGCAGATGGTTCTCCATTAGTTCTAACAGATAGAGATACCCTTCCACTCAAGGCATTTTGTTCTTCCACCATATCTATTGAATCCATAGAAGACCTAGATGTTTTAACTGCAGTTACTAGAGGAGTTGATGACTGCTTTGGCTCCTGAGAGTTAACGGAGGTTTGAGATAGCCGACCTGCTGAAGATGGTCTTGGTAATGGGTGTTCATTGTTCTTGGCAGAGAAAGATGGACGAGGACCCATTGGAGTTTGCAGTGACATAGGTTGGTCAGTAGCAGCTGGACGAACTGACTACAAAAGCAACACAAGATTTCCATGTAAGTTGGGTTTCCAAGAATGCAGCCACATCATTAACCCCGTTCCCATATTATTATTTTTTTAATTATTATCCCAAGTAGAAAACACAAGATTGATGACAATTATCGCGTATATACTAGGCTGATGCATTCTTTTAGCACGGTTAAATTTAATACTCTTTGAGACATAATCATCAGTATAATACTCGGAAACTAGGCCAAATTTTAGCATGCTCAACAGATCAGACACCCCCTCCTAATGCATATTCTAGTACTTCACCGCTCCATCAAAACCAAGAGTCAATAAATCTTAGGAGGTAATAAAAACTGAAAGTATAAGATAATATCACTCAATCAATTATAGCTACAACTAAAACTTTGTAAACAATTATGTGTGTGAAAATGCTCATCAATCTTACCCATCCTAACACAAACCCTCATTTCTCTTAGAAACAAAAGAACCATATGATCATAAAAATACCTTGGGAGATCGAGGTCTACCAGGCCTTCCAGCAGCACGCCCAAGGCCACCAAGCGAGCCCACAGGTTGATAATCAACAAGGAGATCATCCTCATCTTCATCATCATCATCGCCCGAATGAGCCATTACTTGTGCAAGTCTCTGAGCCGCCGCCATAGCAGCCACATTTTGAGGCTTCTTCATGGCAGATACCCCAGAAGACGAAGAACGAGCATGACGGTGCACCGGTGACATAGTCACTGGAGATGCAGGGTCACTTGGGCTATCTATACTCTTTTGTCTATCATACCTTGACCTGAACCGATCCATAATTGCCAAAAATGATCATAACCTGCAATACCCAACAACAAAAAAATGATCATTCATTCATTATTCATGCCATTACGCTATAAAGAAGATCAATGAATTCATTGAGGCATTTTATCAAACAGTTGGCGTGCATTACATTAGGCAAGATGAATTTCAACGCAAGATTGTAACTTTCTTCTTGGGATTTTGGTTTACGTAGTTGGGTACGTGAGATATAACCAGGAATGATGATGGTTGTGTTTGCATGAGCGGTTTTGATTATCTTTTTCTCTTTCCTCCATTGTTTTTGGGTATATCCTGGTACGTGTAATAGCAACAGAGAGCTGTTTGCGGGTTTCTTTGAGAGCAATAACCGTTTTTTAAAATGGTTCATTTCTTTTTTATGTAAAACTTGGGTGGACAAGCATAAAATTCAAAAATTTTTATTTTTTTGGACAAACAAAGATAGCTAGAGTGAATCCTCAATAAGGCTTAACTACTCATTCTTGTTGGGTAACAAATAAAGCGAATACATGAATTTTATAATACTTCTTCTGTTTTGTAATAATCGCAACGCTTTGACTTTTGCACTATTTATATACTTAATTTGACTGTTTTTTATCAATACATAATATATGTTGTCATTTCATATATAAATTCTATATTTACTATTAATGATCAAAGTTGTGCATTGGCATTTATGTCAATCAAATTGTTACTATTATAGTTTTTCTTCATTATACTTGTACTACATTATTATGGAGTAGTAGTTAAATTATTTTTTTTTTAACTTATTTTTACCAAGTATAGACCTAAATTTTATATTGAGCATTTGAGCATATCATACATAATAATAGACATATGCTACTTTCTCATGCCAAACTTCATCATGCATTTTTAAGAGGCTCCACCCACCAATTTTTATAAACTCAATTTCAATGGTTTGGTTTTCAACAATTTAGTAGCCATAAGGAATAGCATTTTAGATACTCCATGGTACTACTTTGGATCACGCATATAACATATTCAAACTCTTCTTAAAGGCATTCTCACCATGTATTTGGTCAATTAATTTCATAACAATTTAGGCATATCAACATGAACACGTGCTATCTTTCTACGAGTAGCTAATTTGATGATTGAAGCATTCCTCACATTTACTAAGAGACAAATCGAACAACAAAATGAACAACTAATCTTGGTTATTAAATGAATCTTGCTAACGAGCACCTCAAGGACACTTGTTAGCTTTTTTCTTATTAGTGATATTTTGTAATTACGAAAATTATACATGCAATAATTTTTCTTACTTTTTATTCCTTTCTTATGTATGCATTGAGACTTCTAAAAAAAGCATTAGTATTTTTTGTTCATTTAATAATTTTTTTGTTGAGCAAAAAAACTAAAAACTAATCTTGGTTTCATAATGAGATTAGCGAAGGTAATTAGGGTTGAGCAAACTAATGATCCGATCCGCATCCAATCTGAAAATTATGAATAATTGATCCGAAAATCAGATAACAATGACCACTTGACAAGGGTCCAATTCCTGCGAATACCCAACGTGTCATTGAAATTCCATTTTCGCTCTCCTAATCAACCACTAATCAACTTCTATTCCAAAAAAAAAAGGAAAAAAAAAAAAACCCCACTAATCAACTTATTATCAAATCTCCAGCAGCAGAAAACAGAATTCCAGTAGCAAGCAAACTTAGGGTTCGTAATTTCCCCCAAAATCCCCAAATTGATCCCTCTCAAATCTCAATGATCAGCTAAAAACCCTAAAATTAACCGAGGAAAATGTCATCTCTACCACTATCCCAATCTCTCGAAATCCCAATTTCATCAGAATTAAATTCTTCAGCCGAAACTATCAGTATCAAACCAGATGATCATCAAGTTTACAACTGGTTGTTGAATTGCCATGGATTTTGGCACAATATCTTGCTAATTTTACCTTCCGCTTTATTCCTTTTGTACTTAGCATTTCAAGTGAAGAAGAGCTACAGGAAGCTTTGGGTTGGAAGGTCGCACATTATTAATTCGTATTATGGGATTGTTTGGCTTGTTAGTCTCCTTAATTTCACTTGGTGTTGTCTTCAGGTACTCTCTTTTTCTTTGATTTATGATCCTGTGTTGTTTCTATCAAATTGGGTCTTACAGACCAAAAAGTCAATCTGGGTTATTTGGAATTTAGTGTTATAGTTAAGTAATTGGTTTGATGTTGTTGAAATTTATTGACGTTTATCTTCTGATTTATGGGTTTTATTTTATCTTGAGAAGATTAGCTGAATGAAATGAATGGGGGTGTGATTATTGGTTAATAGTTGAGAAAGAAGTTAAGTATTGAGCCTATTATAGGTAGATTGGTATCGGGTCGTTGGGCGGAACATGGACCGAATATTTATAAGCACGTAAAGGTATATTGGGAGTGGGAGAATAAGCCGCTCAAGATTTGGACTAAGGCTTGCTTGGATCAGGGTGTGGAAGGAGAACATATTTGGCTTGCTGAAGATGTTGCAAATTAGATGGAATGACGTGCTGGATTATGTATGTCGTGATTAACCGGCATTTGTAGTGGGATCAGTATGGAGTGTTAAAAGATTTGGAACCAGGCATGTATTTATTATTCGTGTTTGTGCTTGTGTTGAAGCTGCAATGATTAGAGACTTGTTATTCTTACGTTTTTTTAGTTTAGATTTAAATACTCATTGGGTACGAAGTTAGGATTATGCAAATCTAGAGTTTAGCTTGTGTCAAATCTTACTCTGCAACCTAACACTTTTCATGCTAAAACACTTTGTAGGAAACAGTTAGTTTAGTGTCGAAACAATCTTAATTAATAATTTTGTCTTAAACTGGGAACTCATGCCAAATTTGCTCATTGAGGTAACCTATGAAGCACTAAATTTGGATCTTTTAGGTTAATCAGCTTGTGACAACTTTTAGTGTGACAATTAAACCTCTGCTTTGACTCCTTCACCCTCCCCTTTTTGCCTTCTACCAAGTATTTCCTATGATTTTGGCTGTAGTGGGATGGAGTGGGATAAGACTGGAGTTTGCAGTAGCTTATGGCAGGCTTTGATGTAGCTAGTTGGCTAGTAGAATCTATGCTAAGTTTTTCTTTTGAGGCATGATAATGATTTACATAAAAAGTGAATTCTCACTAATATGTTGAATGTGCAATATCTTACATCATGTTTCCAGATTTCATCACTATCAAATTTCTTATCATTTCATATGTAGTACTATCTAGTAGCTACTCTTTCCAATATCTAATTGCATTTGGGAATACAATCTTTTCAAGAGACATGGAATCATTGTGTGAAATTGTATAGCCTTTGTAAATTGTAAATATAACCTTTTGTCCGCTATCTACATGTCAAAAGTTGAATTCCTTAGCAAAGGTGAATAATTTGGGGATGTTAAATGAGAACAGTGACTGTACATTACAAGGGGATACAATTTCATGACATCTTTGTCTTTACTAAGGAGTTAGGTGCTCTAGGGAAGAAAAGAAATCCGCAAGAGGGCGTATGCGTCTTTAGTGGCTTGACATCCAGGAATCAATCTACCCTTCAGCTTTGAGATAATTTATATGGCCTGCTGCAAGCCTGCTAGATCCTAGACGCTGCACCCTTATAATCTTCTCATACAGATTTGGCTTGTAGTGGCTCCCACCCTCTCCCTCCATTCTCACATTTACTTTCTTTTGTATGCATCTATGCTCATAATTGTGCTGTTACTTTGTGTTTCTCTGCTCTAGATTAGTACAAACAAAGCGGTCATGTTTATTAGTTTACCATCACAAATTAAGTATTCACCATTTATGCTTCTCTCGGTTTTTTAATATCTTCATCATTATCTTTTACTTCCTTTTCCTTTTTCTGCCGCCTTCTTTCATTTTGCTTTGAGAAATGACTGATGGTCAGAATGTACAACATTGATTGATTTAATTTCTAGAGATCACCTTCATCATTGTTTTCTTCCCTAGTCTTTTTTCCAGACTTTTGTTATGATGGCAAGGGAACTAAGACATGACTTGGATTTTCAGGGAATTCCTTATGCTCTTGTTTGATATTGGAGTGACTGATTTTGTATCCTATCTGGGTGTACATTGTTCAGAATAATTTCTTTTGGTTGAAAAAGGTTTGAGTAAGGTATATTTTACTTGGGGCTATAGCAGAAATTTAGGAGAAAGCTAGGAGTGGAGCCAGAGGAAGGTCAATGGGGATAAAAAATATTTGACTTAATATTATCTCCACTTACTACATGCCTTCATCTGAGATGCTGTGAGCCAGTATATATTATCTTATTACTCATAAGAATAGAGTATGATGTGGATGAATTGGAAGAGGTTTGTATTGAATTATTTGAGGTAGGGAAGAAGCCTGGAATTTTGTCCGTTTTCTGGGCTTGGAAAAGCATGGATCAATAACAAGAATCTTATGATATGCTGAGAATCTTGTATGATAATCATCGACACCTAAAACATTTTTTTTTTTTCGCCCTTGGGTAAATTACAGTCCCCATACTTATTAATTGATAAGAGTGTTATTTCCACTTTAAGTTTGATGATATCTGATCTGGTACAGCTGCACTACCATACTATTTTAAATATGAGAAAATTTGACTACTGTGCTGTTTTGTCATACTGTCATAATAGAACTGCGTATCACTTTGCTCATTATTGATGTTTCAGCTAACATGCGAAAGCTCTATTGTATAGTCTTTGAAACAGTTATGCTCTCTTTATCACTTCCTATCTTAAGCTGTAGTGACTCAATGTGGTTATCGCTAGATCTGTTATATTTTAGTTTCTTAGACCTGTTAATTATATCGTTACTTTTTGAATGCTAATTACCAACCCTATCTGGTAGTTATTATCTCTTAATTCATTCCCCTAATTGACTTGAGGTCACTTGATAGTTTGTGTTACGTTTTCTCGTTAGTTTTCAGCTTGACATATAGAAGAGTCAGTTTCAACACTTGCTATTAGTAATTATTTCTGGTCAATATTTTGGTGAAAAATCTATCAATGTAATTCTTACTTTACCTTCACATATATCTAAAAGTAATTATCCCTGGTGTTTTTTATCCTTCTTTTCAGAGACTGAGTAAAATCTTTAGGAATTAAAAAAATAGTCAAATTTCTTTTGTGCATGGTGCGGGTGTCTGAATCTTCATATTATTTTATCTCATAATATTATTTTATTTTTACAGACTTGGGAGTGTACTCCAGGAAAGACACTACCATGGAACCTTCTATCACTATTCACTACTTCAGGGTTACTTTTTCTGGAAGTGAGTTTGATTGCATTTCTTCTACAAGGAAATTATGCGAGTGGGACAGAAGCTTTGACTCGTACTTTTGCTATCTCTGCCATCTTAGTTGGTTTTGATGTCTTTCTGAAGGTATTTCTTGTTTATTCTCTACAATTCTTTTTGAGAATTGGCTTAATCAACTAAGTGAAGTTGACAAGTCATGAATAGAAAATGAGGATATTTTTGAATGATGGCACATTGACAGTATTGACCTCTTTTTTTTTCTTTTTTTTTCCCCTGTTAAAGTACCTTGTGCCCTTAAGAGTTAGTACTATCAGAGCAGCAAAGAATTTCGTCTCTTGCCAGGCCAGATAGCTGTAAAACTAGTCTTTGGGGTTGGTGGCTTCAGGATCACCCATATAATACATTCGCTTAATTACCCTGCTAAATACCTATGTCCCTGATTTGATAGAGTTCGTGTTTTTATCTTTCACCAGTATGATAGTTTTGTGAATTTGTAGCCATGTTTGATATTAACATGTAATTGCTGTATCTTAGAATTGAGCTGAATTATTATGAACTTCATTAAATTCTTATTGAGGCATTTATAAAATCTGTTGATGGCTTCCATTTTTAGCTTCATAACTTTGCCTCATTATTTTGATAATCTTTGGTGCTCATCTGGCTTTTGTTTTTCATGGCATACTAAATTACTAGTTTATCTTGTGCTAAAAGATGTGTACACTTAACATATAAACATCAAATTTTTGGTCTGTAAACTAAAATGCAGTTTCTTTCATGGACTATATGATGATCCAGTTTGTACCTTTTCCCCCTTTAGGGAATTTATGTATTTGCATTTGGAGTCCCATTGTTCATTGAGAATAATGAGGCGCATCGAATGAAGTGGGGTTTGTGGATTGTGCACAAGCTAGTGCTGACTGCGGTCTATGGCTTCATACTTTTCATGTACCATTCCAGCTGGAGAGAAAGACTGCCTGGTGAGTATGGCCTATATGGAAAATTCATTACTAGTTAAGAGTTATAAAAGCTGGAAGATGCAGTTATTTTTTGCTTTCTTTAACATGGTATTTATTGCTTTGCAGCAAGACCTGCATATCACAAGTACATTACTATCATGTTCGGTGTAAATGCGTTGGCTCTTTTTGCTTGTGTTCTCAGTGGAAGTGGTTTTGGGTTCTGGTAAGATTTTCTGTTGGTGGTTGTTAGTTGCCGCTTCACTGGTAGTCCGGCTCCACCAGCTTTCAATAACCTCGTTCTTAATTCTTTTGCAGGCTGTACGACACCCTAGATATATGCTACCATGCATTTTACCTTCCTCTCATATACGTCACCTTTTTAGCAGATTTCTTTCAGGTAATCTGTCTTTGCAGTTTTTAAAATTTCTATCAATGATAAATGACCTGCATTCTGATGTCATAATATTTGCTTATCTTGGTTGAATTCAGGAGGAAGACTTGAATTTGGAGCATGTATACTACTCAGAGATGAAAGATGCTGGGTTCTTTGATTCTGATTGGGACTAAAGACAGCTCTAACCTTTTTGTTTGCTGCTTGTAACTTTTTAGTTTGTAAATAGAATTGCTCGTGTAGTCGTGTATGTTAGTATAAATAAGTATACTAATTGTTATGTAGAATCTCCTTTGTTTTAATTTTAATGCTCAACACACTACTCTACAATGTAAATGGAGGCTGAGACATTTGCCATCTTTAATTCTTATTAACAGTGTATCCGTGAAAAGTACTCAGTAAGTCTGTATTACCCTAAAATATGTGCTTGTTTAATGGCAGAAGGAAAAATTCTCAGAGTGACTTATTCTGTTTTTACTGGAATAAACATTGAATGTCAATATGAATTAACACATTTTACAGAGTATGTTGAAAGATTTTTGTGAAGAAGCCGATTCACAGGGGTATTTGATTCGCGAAGCCTAGTACCAGGGCAGATACAAGTACGTGTGTAGAAGGGTTTAAGTTCATGATGTTCGGTTGATGACTTCAAACAATTTTTAATTTTTGTCTCAAACCCCCGATTTGTCTAATACGAGTACTAATACTTTGAATGGTTGTAACATCACGAGTTTTCGACCTTATCTAATCTTTGGAATGCAACAAATTTGTAACTTTCAGTTGGATTCTTCGCCCCAGTATGTTTTTGCAAATCAGGCACAAGTTAAAAAAGTCCAGCTTAAACAAGTTGGCAAATGAGCTGTACAAAATACCAACTTGGGAAGCCAATTTACAAGGTTCTCAAAAAGTTGTCAATTGGCTCTAAAAATAAGAGGCTTTGATAAAGAGTTGTAAATTCAATCAAAATTTTACTATTGATAAAGAAAATATGAATTAATGTCTTAAAGGGTGATATCAACTAATGCAGAACTGTAACACAAACAATGCTCATACGAGGTGACCAATTTCATATACTGGTCAAAACGTTCAAACACGAGGTCTAGATCTAAAGAACATAGATGAGAAACGCAAAGAAAACCTTCAAACGCTCAACCCTACAACCCAATATTTCCATCCATGGAGGAAAATCCTATTTTCTACTTGTTCTGAAGCTTCTCGATCATATCTGCTGCTTCTTGAATGGTTGTGATGGTTTGCGCATTCTCTTCTTCAACTGTTACAACCGAATTCCTCCTCAAGCTTCATCACAATCTCCACCTGTAAAATAAAGTTAGCAAGAACTGTTAGCAACTGAAAATCAAAAGTAAGAGTATCTCCTTGTACAGCAATAACAAGAGTTAACAACACTATTAATCAAACATCTATGATGCCCTCTCCTTGTACTTGTGAACCTCTCATGAAATATTTAGAAAGGCATATTCAAAATCTTCATCTATTGATCCGACGATTTGCATCACAATTAACAACACTTATGCTTGATAAAATAATCACAAGGCTAGAAATCCTATCAAACTAATCACTTCTTAGAGTGCACTTTCTCGACACAAGAAAGTGATGAGAAAAAGAGCAATATACATTACGAGTTTAAGACTCCTGTAAAATTAGAAAACATAACTAAGGATACTTACTGTGTCAAGAGAATCAGCTCCGATTTCTGAAAATTTTGTTTCACCGGTAACTTTAGTATCCTTTGTCATAGCTAGCTGCTCCCTCACAATGCTGCTGACTTTCTCAAGTGTCTCGGGCTTGGCCTGCGCAAGAACACCAAATGTAGAATATTACAATCACAAGCTTAAAAGTAGAAGCTACTCGTACCAAAGCAGATTCTTGTTCCCTTTCAAAAAAAAAATTATAAATAAAACAGATTCTTGTTCCATGAATGTCCATATTGTTTGTGAATTGTGACAAACATAACTTTTACAATCATACTTCGAAAATTTTCCATCAAATTACATAATGATTACCAAAAAACCCAAGGGAAAGCACTTATCATTGCTGCTCACAATTCAAAAAGAAGAAAAATGAAACGAAACGAAACACGGATATAAACTGGGAAAGGAGAGAACATACAGCACATGAGATGCTCAAGCCTCGTGGCTTCACTTGATTTGCCCTCCAGAATGACACTGATGACTTCAGGCCATGGTTCTTGGAGTTAAACTGTCAACAAATAAAATTTACAAAGCATAAGTTCACAACTAACTTACAATACAATATAAACACCATATTATTTTCATTCCTATAACATAAACTGAAATCATTCGCTTCAAGATTCAAATGATGATCAAACAGCCTTATCAACAAATGTGAAGTGAAACTCGAGAACTCGACAATAACAAAGTAAGATCACAGCTTATGGCATAAAACCATAGTGACTTAATCAAACTAATTTTGTCACACTCCATATTAAATTATCCTGGTGCAGATCTCCCCTGAATTAGACTATTTAGTATTCCAAATGACTGATATCGCTAATACTAAAGATAGAATTAAATTTAACACAAAAAACAATGCTGTAAACTAGGAATTTCTCAATTATCAATTTATCATTATTCACACATTTATATTAGCTGAGAAATCAAAATTCAAAGAATCCAATACGAATACATTAAATTCTTCACACTAAAATTTCGAATGATCAAAATAATTTTTTAATATATAACATAAAAATCTCCGCCTTATAATAGAAGCCGAAATTGACTTATTAAGGTCAAAGTAATAAAAAATAGATCTTGTTAAATACATTGAAATAATAATATAAAAAAACGAGTGATTTTCCCAACTACCTAATAGAAGAAATTAATTAATAATAGAAAGGTGAATATCATTAAACCAAACTACCAACAAATTAAACAGATGAACAAAAATCACAACCTCAATGCAAAACAACAACAAAATCAAATCAAATAGAACAAAAATCGATTAAATCAACAACAGATCGAAAACCTGATTGACAAAAACAAAATCAGATCTAACCGAAAAACGGAGTGAAAAAGAGAGAAATATACCGAAGAAGGAAGAACGGCGCACTTGAAGGAGACGGAAGAACTAGTGAGGGAAGCCATTGAAGAAGATTAGAGAGAGAAAGAGAGGAGAGAGAAGGAGAGTGAAGAGCAGAGGAGAGGAGAGGAGAGAGAAAAGGAGAGAGAGATATTGAGGAGGAAGAAGAGAAGGGGTTAAAATAGTAGGGAAGGACGGAGAATACGAAGAGCGTGAGAGTAGTGATGGGATATAAACGGATACACCAAACTCTCTCTCTCTTTGCTGACCTGATCTTCCCTTTGCCTACTACGGAGTACTGTCTATTGTGTTTTGTGTTGCCCCTCTTTTTTTACGGATCGTTTTTTTTTTGTTTTTTTTTTTTTTCTCTTGGGTCTTTTCCAATGTGTGTTGTTTGGTCTATTGTGAGATTGTGGGCTAACTAAAAACTAAAACTATTGTGAGGAGAATAAAATTTTAAGAGTTTTTGATTTGTGTCTCTAGGCTGGGTTTAATTAGAGGTGTCAATTTGGAATTTGGGTAATTGGGTTTGATTTGATTTGATTGAGTTAGGTAGGAACCTAATAAACGGGGTGTTTAGGTCGAATATGGGTTGGATTAGTTTGGATTGAGTGGATCAATTTTGGATCGATTAATATTCGATTAGAAACAATTTGGGTTTTGGGTTAGTTTCGGGTCAGGTCAATTCGAGTTTCGGGTCAATAGTTATTTGGGTTGGGTATTGGGTCGATACTTCAAGTTAAGATCAGGTCGGGTTACTTTGGGTTTTGGGTCAATTCGAGTATCGAGTCAAGTTCGGGTCGGATCAGTTTTGTGTCACGGGTCAGGTCATGATTGTCGGGTCTAGGTTGGGTGTGATTTAGTTCTAGTTTGAGTCAAGCTAAATCATTATGCTAATACAAGTCAAAATCTAAATTGATTACTTTTCTTCAGGTCAGATTTTTGACACTTATAGGGCTTTTTAGGTTTGACCTGGTTCAATTAGGTCAGGTCTAATCCAAATTTGAATCATGTTAAATCATTGTTCTCATACTTGTCGAATTTTGTACTTGATCACTTTCGAGTTAGATCGGGGGTTAGTCAAGTTTGGTAAGTTTTTAATGCATATAATATAGATGGGTTTATTTCGAGTTACGGTGAAAAAAAATTAATTTCATAATTACCGTAATTAGTAACTTAAGTACCCCTAAAAAATAAAAAATAAATAAAAAAAAAACTTAAGTACAAGAAATGAATCGAGTTGAGTTGAGTTGATTTTGTTTTGTTTTGTTTTGTTTGTGTGTTTCTTTCATATTTTTCACTAAAGGTTTAGATTGAGTTATCAGGTTGGGTCAAAGATTGTCTAGTTTAGGGCCTGTTCATATTTAATGAACTGAGCTGAACTGAACTGATTGGAGCTGAACTGAACTGAACTGAAAATTAAAATGCATAAAAATAGATGAAAATGTTTATGAAAATTAATAATAATATATATAGTGGATTGTGAAAAATATAAAAGTGTTTTAAAAATAACTCTTTATTTTAAATTATTATATTTTAAATTATTAAATTTTTGTGTGTTATATTTTAAATATATATATATATAAATAAAAAGTATTCTTCAATATTTTACTGTAGTCAATCGTTGCTTGTTGTACTCTACACAATTTTGTTCGTTTACATGAACTAGGGATTTCATTCACGCACCAAGTTGAAGTCATGGGACCAACAGAAGATCATACTATGTACGATGATAACAGAAAAGCAGCTATGGATATTGTACGAAACCAAATAACTGATCAGATATGGGAGTCAATTCAGAGGAATGCCGAGGTAATGGAGCAACTTAATGAAGAAGAAGAAGACGAAGAACTAACCGATTATGAAAGCTAGTAATTGTTGTGTAGTACTCTCATTTTGTCAATGAGTTCAACTATGAAAAAACATGTGACCATTTTGAACGACGAATATAATTTAAAATAATAATAATAATAATAATTATTATTTTTTTTTTTTTATTATTATTATTATTATTATTATTATTATTATTATTATTATTGTTATTGTTATTGTTATTGTTATTATTATTGTTATTATTATTATTATTATTGTCGTTATTGTAATATGCTAAAACATCTAAAACAAAAAAATTAACAACTGAGTTGAACTGAACTGATTGGAGCTGAACTGAACTGAACTGAACTGAAAATAAGTAAATATGAACAGACCCTAAGTATGTGATAAATTTCTACTTATTTTTACTCACAATAATCACATCACATGAACTTTCTTAAGGTTGGTTTGACAGCACTATAAATATAAGCAATTTTCAAAATTTATGGTTCAAATTGTAATATAATATAGGTTGTATTATAAACATATACCGAGTAATTGATAATCATGCTGATTTTGAAAATGTAAAATTGACCACAAAAAAAAATATATGCATATAGAATTAACTTTTGTTATTTTTGTGGTTTATATGTTTTGGTTTTGGTTTACAAAAAAATTGAAAGAAAAACCAATAATAAATGGTCCCTTGTGTTTAGAAAGTTATTTTGTGGTCCATTTGTTATGGTTATGTTATTATAACCTTCCGTAGCAGACATCGGGTTATTGACATTGTATTGGAGATTTTGATGTGAAATGAGATAGCTTGTCCAAAATTAAAGATTCTAATAAAATTCTATGTTGCATCTTATACCTTCGTTCAAGATTGTGGATCAAGTCTTATTATACTTGCTTTCTTGATTGAAAAAAAATAATAATAATAATAAAAAAAAAAACTTATGATACAGTTAATTACCTTTTAATTGTCTGCCTAATTTGCTCAACTATACTCGGTTATGTTGTATTGTATATACTACCTCCGTTTCTTATTATGTGTAACAAAGGGGTATTATTTGTGAGACATAAAATATTCCTTTGTTGCACATAATAAGAAACAGAGGTAGTACTTGTTTAATTCATCTCTACATTTATAAATACACAAATGTGTGAAGTATGCTTAAATGATTTCCCAAAGGACGTACCAACTATACTCACAATTATGCATCTTCATATTTATCAATAACTCAATGTCACTTTTTTCATGGTTGTTGGTGATATAAGACTTATTAGTTAGTCGCTTTCCATGCTTATGGAGCTCAATCTAGCTTCTTGTTTTCTCCCTTTTCGTATTCATATCCTCTAACATTAATTTCCTCATTTTAATTTACATTTTTCAGCTTATTTAATTTCATCTCATCAAACTATATCTTCATTTAGGCATCTCCAAAATTAGCAAACCCAAAGCATGTAATTATGATATTGTCATCTAAAATTTTTAGTTTTTTCTATTTTGTTTTCTTTCCTTCATGGAGAGTGGTAATTTTTTGCTTATCGATTACCGTATTCTTAACTACAATTAATAAAAATATGTTTTGCCACAAAATAAATTTGAGGAATTTATATTATTCTATTAAATTCTCTTTCATTTTTGATTCTACAAAGTACAGAATACCATCCATGGATATTTGAGAGGGTGACATATGATAATTGATAAAAGTGCTTGTGGAATTATAAGACAACATTTTGTTTTTTAAGACTTTTTTTTCCATGCGGCCATGCCACATTTTATTTATACACTTTCCCATGCCACATCATAATTTAACAATTATTTTTACTCCGTATTATAAATAATATTGAAATTACATGAATATTGTATTATATATATATATATATATATATATATATATATATATATATATATATATACCATGGCCGTACAATTTACATTTTTTGTATAATTTAAATTTGTTGATATGAAAAAAATGGCAATAATAATAGAATACTATAGATTAAAATACAACAAAAATAGCAAATAATATTATAATTTATATTTAAAATACAACAAACAATTATAACATTAAAAATAAATACAAGGATCAATTGCAAATAAATGTACACTTTGGTACACGTATTTAGGCAAAATATGGTGTATAGAGTAATAAGTTGGGTCTTGAATTTTCAAGACTCCATTCAAGACTTTTGTTGAGACTTTACTTCATAACTGCGTAAAATTTATGAAGTCTTATCTAAAGACAATTTAATAGCGATTTGCTGATGTCATGTCGTCCAACAATCGGAGCTCCTTGAATTGGATCCATTTTTCACGAAGTTTTTTTTTTTTCTTGAATATGTATTGATTTAAACCCATAAGTGAGACCAGGACCACCACCCAATAGCATGTTGTCGCCAGAAGCAGAACCCGTATTTCTTCTAGGGAATCTCCTATTTAGGCTAATCTTACTCTTAGGGTCTGCTCTGATTGACTGAACTGAGTTGAACTAAACAGAAATGAACTGAACTAAACTGAACTAAACTGAATATTTTATGAGAGAAGGAAATTAAGATAAGAATTGAACTGAACTAAACTTATTGGAGTTGAAGTGAACTAAAAATAAGCCGAAGAGAACAGGCCTTTACACTGCTACTAACAATTTTATTGTTCATTGTCAAAATGAACCAAAAAGAATTCGATCAATATAAATGAGCAACGAGTTATACATTGTAACTTATAACCAATTGTATTATAGAAGTTGTCACCCTTATTATGATGGATCATTTTAACTTGTTACAATGATGGATCAATTTAACATTGTAACAATTTAACTTGTTAGATATTTAAAGATATTATGTTTATCAAAGAGATAGGGAAAATGGATCACTCCCTCTCCTTTTTCTTCCCTCTTCCAATCCTTTTACCCAACTAAGTGAGTTTGTCCTCCTCCCTTTCTCTTCCCTTCTTTTCATTTAGTTTTCTTAAATTCAAACAAAGAGTTAAATTGATGTCTTTCTTTCCCTACCTTTTAAAAGTATAAGAGGACTCTTATGAATAATGTTTGGACAATTTTACCTTTTAAAATGTTTATTTACTTAATTCCCCCATTAATAGTGTTTGGACAATTATATAACTCTTTTTTTTAAAAAAACTTTAACAATAGTGTGTGGATATTTATATCAATAAAATATTTATTTATATATTATTCCTCATTAATATTACTAACAACTAAAATTGTGACGTAAATTCAAACCAAAAGAATTTCCGAATATCGCTAGTTATGACTGCGCAAGACGTTAGCCACCCTATTACTAATAAAAAATAATTTGAAACAAGAAGACACTTCCTTTACTATTTTTTTTTTTATTTTATTTATTTATTTTTTTGTGAAAGAAAGACTTTGTTCTTCCTTTACTAATATCTAGAATCTGAATTTGCACTTTAATTTTGAATTGGGCTATAAACACCT